TTCAATCCAAATCCAACACAATAAGGGGCAAATTGATAGAGGATCGTAGTCAGTGGGATTCCATCTGTAGTGCTGTCAGCATGCGCGCTGAACCCACTACGCTGAGCCGCATCGCACGATAGCCAAACACCTTACACTATGGTGAGCCTCGACTACTTCGAGTAACACTACATTCCGCGGAAGAAACGGCATCCATTCTGCTCGCTGCAAATCGACACCACAGAGCATCGAACGGAATATGTATCTTACCGAATATTCCGTGGAAAGAAAGAACATTCAAAGGATGTGAAAAATCAACAGGAAGTAGTAAACACGCGTTGAATACCTTCATTATTCATGGCCTCTCTGAGTCTCAAGGTTCACCTCCTGAAGAAGTTCATGCACATGACCTGGAGCAATAGCGATACATTCGTGAGGCGCTGTCTTTAGAAAATATCATTGCTACCTCCCTTACCAGGATTCCCGTGTCACTAAATTACAAAGGTGTGGTCCTAGGTTGCTGAAGTTGGCCTTACCGTCTGAGTTATTTTTACAGACAGTTCTAGAGAACTATGGTAACTTCCGGAACATGCTACTAACAGAAATTCAACTAAAAGCAGCAGGTTTACGTCCAGAGGCTACTGGTTACTCCATGGAGAGAGCCAACTCAGTGGGAACAACCGTTGTTGCAGAGTCCACCACAGAGACTGATCTGACTGCCGTCATAGCATCCGGCGAAACACTGCAGGAGGTGAGTGGCCATCAGGACCATCATGAACCTGATCACATAGTGCAGTGTGTTATTCCAACTCATTCTCGCGAGCCTAAGATAATTCAAACAAAACTAGTAACAGCCGACCTCAAGAGGGTCGATCAAGTCTCAAACCTGTTGCCTGCATCCACAAACAACCTAACCTATGAATCACTCTCCTGTTTTTATACCAACGCACAAGGTCTTTTAAGCAAACTGACGGAACTTCGCCTGCTTCGGGCCTCGATGTCGAGGGACCTCGTTATGATAACCAAGAACTGGTTGAGTAAAGCGATCACTGATGCAGAAATCGCACTACCTGAGATGTCTATTCTACGCAACAACGGACCAAGTAGACGAGGTGGAGTAATACTTTGTTATCGCGGCGAACTACACATTGATCTCATCGATGAGCCAGAGGTTCAGATTGTCGATGCGCTTTGGTGTCGTCTTCATCTAAGCCGTGGGGACGCATGTTTGTTGGGTGTGGTGTATCGCCCACCGTCGTCTACTTTGAAAATGGACAACCGCCTAGCCTCCACACTGAAGACCATTATCTCGCAGTCGTACAGCCACATTCTCCTGGTTGGTGACTTCAATATTCATACCATAGAAACCTCAGCCTGTATCAACGAACATTTCAAAATGGAAGTACAAGAGATAAATAATGGACTACCACTGTACAATCACATCACATCTCCCACAAGATTCAGGACGGGAAACAAACCGGGTGTCCTGGATCTTGTATTCACCAATGAAGAGCTTATGATCGAAACGGTATCGATAGAGAGTCCTTTATGCCGCAGCGACCATGCAACCCTCATGTTCAAGTACATCTGTTATGCAGAGTAATCCTCGGAAAACACCGAGGAGTGTCAACTCGTTACGGCTTACGGCGCTCTACTCAAACTTATAAATGCTACAAACTGGACATTTCTAGCAGAACTAGCCCGCGATGTCGCCTGGTCTGAATTGGCTCACCAGTTAAACACGTTAGTAACTAGTGTTTCTAGGAAAAGACCTTTGCGAGCGAAGACAGTAAAATCATTCATGCGCAGCAGGACACGCAAGTGTATCGTTACGATAAATTTACTCTGGCGAAGATACAAAGATTCATCGAGTGCCGAAACATGGGAAGCCTACACTATCCAATGGAATCACTGTGTAAACCTGGTAGGCGAAGATAAAATACAGCACCAACAGAATCTAGCTGAGATTTTCCTTTCTAACCCCAAGCTCCTGTACAGACACATAAGCAAGCTTCGCAAATTGCAGAGAGGAATTCCTGCCTTACACACGTTATGTGGACTGGCACAAACCGCAACCGAGGCGGCCAAGGCTCTAGGTCAACAATTCACCCCGAAATTCCAGAGCACGACATCGCCGCATACACTGTTCCCGCACGTTGTATCACCACCAGGACTTAGCCACATCACGTTTACGACCGCAGATGTTATGAAAAGGCTAATTTCCCTGCGCGAGCATACCTCTCCCGGCGTTGATAATATTCGTCCAAAAGCGTTGAAATTAGCTGTAGTAAACCTGGCGGACCCACTCTGCAAGTTCTTCCAACGATGCCTCGATGAGATGCGGGTGCCAACTATGTGGAAGCAGGGCATCGTCACTCCCATCCATAAGGGTGGAAGTCGTACAGATCCGACCAACTATCGCCAGATAACACTGCTTCCGGTGCTCTACAAAATCATGGAAACGATTGTTGCCGAAGCGCTGATGAACTTCTTGGAGGAACGCAATATCATAGCACAAGAATAACATGAATTTCGAAAGAACCGATCTTGCACTTCAAACTTGCTACTTGCTAGATCCAGTTGGATTGAGACCGTTGACAGCGGCGTAGGTGTTGACGCAGTATATCTGGACTTCTTAAAGGCTTTCGACCGTCTGAACCCCCGTATCCTTCTTCACAAGCTGCAGTGTTGTGGAATTAGTGGTCCAATCCTCGGTTGGATAGGTAACTTCTTACTTCAACGATATCTGAATGTAAGAGTTCGCGGTGTCTTCTCTGACCCAATCGACGTTAAGTGCGGAGTGTCCCAGAGCTCAGTACTTGGTCCACGACTATTCCTGATTTACATAAACGATCTCGCGACAGTAATCACCTCCAACTCCTTACTCCTCGCTGATGATCTCAAGATATGGCGAACCATTAGAACAACCAGCGACAATGCAGCACTTCAGGATGATCTGGACAGGGTCTACGAATGGTCGACCCAGAACCTGCTTCAGTTCAACGCTACAAAGTACAAGGTGTTAAGAGTACGCAATAAAACTACTTGCGAATACAGAATGGGGGATCAAATTCTGCAGCGCACTTCAACGGAATGCGATCTAGGGGTGGTAGTGCAGGAAGATCTGGGCTGTTCCCGTCAGGCCGAGAAAGCCTCCAAAAAAGCTAACCAATACCTTGGCCTTTTGCGGAGGGCATTCGGGCGCTTCGATCCTTCTATCTTTCAACGCCTACATTCGGCCTCATTCTGAGTACGCCATTCACGCCTAACAGCCATGGCAAAAGCAAGACATTACCGCTCTTGAACTGCCACAACGAAGGGCGACCAAGAAAGTAAGGGGCTTACCGATTGAGGCTGAAAACCCTCGGGTCTACAGTGGACAATATCGACGCCTGCGTGGCGACTTGATAATGACTTATATGATCCTGAGGAATCCAAACCATTCTTGTCGTCACCTACTAAAGCTGAATAGCAATAATACACTCAGAAGACACCATCTAAAGCTGGCAACACAATACAGCCGGTTGGAATGCCTCCGGAATTTCTTTTCCCTTCATGTGTGCCAACACTGGAACGCTCTTCCCACATACGTTGTTTCTTCCCCCACGCTAACGGTATTCGCTTATCCACTTACAATACGCTATATAATCAGTGATGTCTATGTCAACAAAACGCGAACAAACGGTGCTCATTCTCAGCTTTGTGCTTCACTACTTACACACTGCTGTTGTGGAATATAGCTTCGGACATATTACAACTGCATTCATCAATTACCTCAGTCCAAGAAAGCGGAGCACGTGTAATCGTTGTCGTTTCTTTTGTTCTTAAGACATACCTTCTCCATATTGCTTCCCGTGTTACTCTACAGTAACAATTCAGTACACATTCTAAAATGTTTATATGAATAATGGGCACCTGAATCGCTAGACGCTTAAATTGACGACCTACATTTACGTTTAATTTCACTTCAACCATCCTACGGGACTTGTAAAGCAATCGCTTTTTTACCTGTAATATATCACAGTTCATTGTTTATTGTGCATAAACTTCGATTCACTCGTGTGGGGCTGAAATCCGGTTATCGCGCAAGATGTTTGATTTTTGGAACTTGCTTGATAACGTAGTATTGACACTGACTGTTAAGAAGTTTGAACACCAACTTGATTCCCTCGGTTTGCAACTACGACTCTTCCCGTTCACATCTAAGACTTTATTAGGATTTTCCATATCTCTTCCCTTATCCCGATTGCCAGTGTTTATTTTCTGTTTTCTGTTGTTTTATTTCAGTTTCTTATTCCTTTTCTTTATGTTTTGCTTTCGATTCCACTTGACCGGCACAGCAGAGAAACCTGGTGCCAGACACGTGGGAATTCTTGCTTGACCACGGTGCGATACGCACGTGCCGCTTGAACACCTCAGAAGAAAAACCGATTCACCGAAACCTGTCCCACTTAAACGACGCTTTCGCAATAGAACATTCACGGGATCCTCCTAGGGTTCCTGTCCCACTTGAACTTGAAACGGAACCCACTTCGCAATTTCCATACTGCCCCATGCGCTACACGTTTCCTAGAGCGACAGCATGTCAACCACTTGACAGTGTCTGACCGCTAGTCAACCGGATTTCCCCAATTTTCTTCCCGATGTTCCGTAGGTGCCTGGCACCAACAATGAGTTTGCGCGAAATTGCACATACCTCACAAAAAGAAAAATATACACCAGTTATTTCATTTGTCTACCATGCAAGCAATTGTCATCCGGTAGAGCAACTGTACCATCTGAACTTCTCCTTCAGCCTATGCACTCAGTAATCCAAGCCCCCCCCCGTCTCCGAAATACTTGCAGCATAGTAACGGGGTACTATCCAAAGCATGACAGTAACTCCTGAGCAAGTAGCCCAACCATGAGGGGGAGAACGGGTTGGCAACGTGTGTCACATCAACAGTTGATTGGTGAAAACAAATCAGTACGACAAAAATACTAAAAGGTTGAATGAAGTAGGATTTCCACTTGTCAACCATTTATTCAACCTTCTCAGGCAACAATTTAGGTTCTTCCGGGTGGGTCAAATCCCATACGGTCTGAGGATAAATCATTTGGGCTGCTACCTTGGGTAGGGATGGAGATTGAGATGTGGTCGTCGATGATCGGCGAACTCTCTTCTTCGCGTTCTCCGTTGCCGGAAACACTTTAAAGGTTGGTTTCCGTGGTTCCCTTCGAACAGGCTGTGAGGCAAGCGTAGCTGCTGTAGTGCTAGTTGAGCTTGGCTTCTCGGCTACGTTAGTCTCCGATGCCATGGAATTCTCGGTCGTTGAGATGGGGGGAGTGGTCACTTCCGACTCTTGCGCTGCTTGGTCCTCTAGACGACCAGCTGTTGTGGTATTCATCGTAGCTGTTATTGAATTTGGTTGAGCTGCAAAAGTCACTGGCTCCACAGTGGTGGTTGAAAGTGGTAGTCGTATCGCGTGATCAACCGGGCCTTCGGATTTGTGTGCCTCCATGTGGACAGCGCGCCGTCTATCTTGCGGAACTTCAGGGGGAACAACTGGAGAGAGGAAAAAGGGACGTGCTAGAACCGAACGTATAAGAGTCGAAAAATCAAGCAAATGTGGCATCAACAAATTGTGCGTCTGGTCCGACTCCTGTTGTTGCCGCGGTGGTTGCACACTCTCTTTGCAAACGAATCCTCGGGGTTCGGAGCATGGGGTCAACTCTGCAGTCCAACTTCCAAGCCCCTCGCTTTGCATGTTGGCCACGATGCACCCCTGGCTGTTCAAACGCCAGTTGGATTGCCAGCGTTTCCTCTCTGTGTTCGGGAATCGATGATAGGCAAATTTGAGACCGTCGATCCACGAGAGCACAAACAGGCGTGACGTCGTTCGACGGACGGATCCGCCCAGCCACATCTCTTTTGGATACTCTGTGCCGAAGTATTTGGTCAACATTTTCTGAAAGCAGTAAGAAATAACATAGTGATATAATTTGAATAACAAACCTGCACCGGCGAACTAGCCGCTATGGATGGAGGTGTTAACTTCTAAACTGCTGCATTCGCGCATGCGCAAGGGCAGTGCGTGTATGCGCCTATCTAAGAGTATCACACTCGTGTCACAGTGCGCATTGCCTGAATTTTAACCAGTGTCAAGTCCACACGCAGAATAACAGCATCATGAATCTATGAGGTTTTGGGAGAGAGTAATTGCTAAACCCGGTACTCCAAGGCACCTTCCTTTCTGACAGTACGTTTTTAGGAGGTCTTAGGTCATCAGTAGTACGCCGGTACGCCGTACCGACGATTTGACTGCCACCCAACCACCGCCACGAACCCGTGGACTAAGGATACAATGAGGGTCACACAGTCCCCTGCGCATATTCGAAC